CAAATTAATATAATTAATGAGCGCATTTTCTTTTAAATGTATATTTTTTTATCTGATTTGATGGCTCTTGCTAAATCTTCACTACTTAATATATATTTATATTATTCAGTACATAATAAGACTGAATTTAAACGTATTTTTAATGCAATTGATATAAGTTCTGTTGTCATACAATTTTTCCTATCATTTAATAAATGTTTCATTTGTGAAAGTGCTGATTCAACGTCAACATTACTACAAGGTAATGAATTTAAAGAACAAATGAGCTTGTTTAAATTTGGTGATTTGGTGATGGACAGTAACGACATCCATAATTGGTCAAATCTCATTCTCTTGCTTTCTGTTAAATAATCATCAACAGTTTCTTTTACATCATCACGTACATTTGTTACTGATGATGGTAGAAGCGAAAATATAGGTAAAAATCAAGTAAAAATGAAAAATATACATTGGTAGTTTTTCTCAGCCAATGGTGGAAAGTAAGGATTTTTATGCAAAAAGTAGAGCAGAACAAATGTACTAGTATGTGTTGATAAGAACTTATCTTTGTTTTTGAAAAGGGTCTTTCAGATATAGAAACATCGGTTGCAAATATAAGAAACGCCATATTAAAACAAGCAGAAACGATAGGGAAGAAGCAGAAAAATCTTGAAAAAGTAGAATTTTTTTGCTAAAGGCAGAAGAGGTGGCAGCTCTGACCCACACCTACACTCACCATTTCTACTGATAGGTAACCTGTTCTAGTAATAAAATGCTTGTATTTACTTTCTTTTTTTTAGTTGTTGTTTGTGTAGATATATTGACAAAATTGGTGTGTTGCAACCAGGCCCACCAAAGACGACAAAAGAATACTACACACCACGCCGATTCTAATCCTATATTAAGACAAATAATTTTACTTGCAAACAGTAGTGGAAGATAAAACATAGTCATGGAGTCATGGGACTATAATTCTTATTGGACTCTCGAATCGAACTTTTCTATGTGAAAAAAAACAGACAAAAACCAACTTTTATCAATTTCAAAAGTGTGTTATTAGACATGGAAAACTCCTCAAAAAGGTTCGCCTATAAGTACTTGTTTCTCGGAAAAAACTAAAGAGAATAATTAAAAGTTGTTTTTTTCTACCTCTTTTTTGAATGGATTCTAGTCGGGATTGATTTGAACTGTCTAGGAAAGATTTTATACCAAGATCAAAATCCTGTTGAAAATCAAAGGTGTATGCATAAGTCTTTTAGACAACAAATAAAATATTTTATCGACAAAGTATTTTAGCTTTATCCTTTTGGGCAAAACATATTCGAACTAAAGCGCCAGAATGAGCTCCTTTCATAATCTATCATTGTCTACCCTCCTTTTCACCTTTTTGGTCCTGTAGTAACTGCCTTGTCTTCGAAAAAGTTATTTCATAGCTAAAAAACTTTTACATCGAATTTCCATTTCATGAAATAATTTGAATTTTTATAAGTGCCTGTCGTTTAATGTTTATAAGGAACAAAAGCACTCGAGAAAAAAATCTAGACTACGTTCAGATTAGTGTCAAAAAACATCATTGGAAGAAACTGCCGAAACAACTTTTATTTTTCACAGAAATGCAGTGAAAAAGGTTCCGTCTCTTTATCAAAAGTATTGGTGTACTTGAAGATATTTGGGTTGATTTGATGTCTTTTTCTAATGCAAATTAAAACAATTTTTCACCTTCATCTTAGACAAGTTTCAAGAAAATGTGCACTCACGTTTAGCAATCTTTGTCGATTTATCAATATATGTTGTTATAATCATTTTCAATAATTGAAGATACACGTAAGTACTTCGTGCATTATTATTTTCACTGAGAATTTTGAACAAATCTGTTGAAACAAGTTTAACACAAGATCGATAGTTTTGTCTATCCTTTGGATTTAAATCAGATATTGTTAGACCATGGTCTAACTTCGTGTATTGACGATTTTCGATTATGTCCTGCAAATCTTTGATACTAATTATTTGACTTCCTATTCGCATTTCAGCTACTTTAGACAATAAACGATTTCTCCATTTAGTTATTAAATGCGTTGGGTCTTGTAATAATAGAAATAACTGTCGTTTTCGAAGGAAAAACCATGACCATCGTCTTTCTGTGTTGATCTGAAACGCGTTGATATGATTGTAATATTTGAAGTTTGACAAAGATGCAAAAAAGCCACACGTTAGTCGCATGGCTCGTACATATTTTGGATCACCGTCTAATTAACTAAAATGAAAAGCAGATAAATCGAATGGGGAAGTCTTTGAAAAATCTTATATCGATAAAAGTTTGTGAAATGACATATCCTAGTAACATAGTTATCGAAAAACAATATAAATGAAATTAACTATTTCAAAAAGATATCTACATAGTACCAGAAATGTTACCTTAGAGTTAATATCATATGAAAACAAGACTAGCTAGAATACCTATGCATGACAAGCATAATGCGAAGCTATTGAAACTTGTCACAGTACCTTGAGTTAAAACAAGTGTCAATTAAGCAATACTAATGGCAATAATTTTTGCGTTAGGACCGCAACACCCAGTTATTGCTGAGATTATGTGATTTGTGTGAAGCGAGAGTTTAGTCAAAATCGCCATATGTATATTTTACAACATCAAAATAATAATGAATTTATCCATTAACATGTTATCAGTTCAAAAATTTTTACAATCATTTATCAACAATTAATTTTAATTAACAATTGAAAGACAATAATCATTTTCTCGAATTATTGTGAGACGAAAAACTAAGTCCTATGAATTTATAGGCATGTTAATAATTAGCATAAAAGTATCTTCGAATTAAAGCGTAATCAGTCCAAATATCACCTGGTTTCAAATAAAATCCGACATCTGAAATTAATTCTTTTTTTTTACGAAAATTAAAATTAAAATTTTTCAATTCTACTGGCGAGGGAGCGTTCTCAAGTGTCACATCGCTTTTCAGTCGAACGTATGCGCATTATGTAGACCCTAACGGTCTATGAATTCTCTGAAAAAAGTTCGTGCTGCTAGCTAATTACTACCGAGATACTGCGTTTTTACTATATGTTTAAGGAAAAGGAGCCGTGGTACCCCTCAGGAACATTGGGAAAACTGAATTTCGAATTTCGACTTGAAACTTTACATAGATATAGACCTTAGTGAGAATACTTTATTGTGAAAGTTTCATCTGTTTTCATTGTTCCTATCCTAAGATACAGCTAAGGTAAAATTGCTCATATAAACCAGCAGATCCGATGTTCTTATTTCAGACTAGGAGCAACCAAAAGATCTGAAACCTTCACAATAAACAATTCTCATTTAGGCCTGTCTACTTGCAAAGTTTCAGGTGGAAACTCAAAATTCACTTTTCCTGATGTTCCTGAGGGGACCCTGGCTTTTCCCTTAAACATACACTAAAGATGCAATATCTCAGCAGTAAGAAGCTAACAGCACGAAATTTTTTCAGAGGATTCATAGATCATTAGGGCCTACATGATGCCTATATGCTTGACTCAAAAGCAATGTGACAGTTGGGAATGTTCCCTCATGAGTTCACGGCTTAATACTTCTAATCAAAATCAAAAATCGTTGAAGGTGTTATGCATTTAGTAAACTAGTACCTCTCCGTGAAGAACGCTATTTAAATATAAATATAAATATCATATTTAACAATGCTATTAAAGGTCTAATTGAATTTTAACTCTTTTGCAATGTTTTCATCAATCGAAATCAATCTTTTATTATAATTAATTTTTTTTATGTGCTGTACACACGCAAGACTCCCAGAGTTCCTTATATGAGGTGAGCCAATGATTCCTCTATCGAATATTATTTCAAGTCTTTGCAAATTTGTTTGATAAATAGTCTAAACTCTATATTTATTTCATGAACTATAGAAATATAACTCATAATATTCTATGTTTTTTTATTAGAACAATTATCTTTCAAGCAGAACTACTATTATGCGCAGTTAACTTCGAAAATAATAATTTTTTGTTCTTGCATAAAATATTTTCACAACCAGGTGCGTAAGAGGTTCACACCAAATGTCTAGATTATTCTCAATTAAAATAATCGTGGGAATTTATATTACTGCTGCTCGTTAACTCTGGCATTAATGACCTGGTAGCTCTGAACGCATTCTTCAAGTGAGCTGAAAATATTGATCATTCCTTTTAATTTGAGCTGGTATTATCAAACATTTTATTGGAGCTATAGCAAATATTCTGAGTGCTTGAGTAAACTCATCTCAAATGAAATAAGTGGAGATCAGTATTTTGATATACTTCTTCTAAATCACTGAATTGTCATCTATTATATTCCTAATCAACAATTCGGTTAAAACTCGTTTCATAGACACATAAGCATTTTGTGGAACTCACGTATATTTTCAAAGGAAATAGTGAGTGTAAGTTTTAAGTTCGAAGTTTGGCGGCTCCCCCTCCCCTCCACCCCATTACAGACACATAGCAACGGAGAAAGAGAACATTACAGGCCCCCCCCCCCCCATCACAGACATATCCCCCATTACAGACACGCCACCATTACAGACCATAGCAACTTCACAAAAAAAGATTCTGCTCGAAATATATAAATCAAAAAAGACAACATTTGCTGACAATCAATTATCATTAGAAAAGAATTATCGCCTTGGAGAGAATTTAAACATTATATTTTTGGCCATCAGCACAGTGAAAGTAAAGAAGATATGTGAGTTCCACATTTCAGTCCAAAGGGGCTGCGCTAACAAGCTTTTTTATTTCTTCAAGAAAATTCCGATGCAAAGTTTTTTTACCCGTCGAAAACCAATTATTCTTATATCAGTTTGTATACAGTTATTAAAAAAATGAATCCATCGATTTATTATGTCGATGACTATTGATGTACTATCAACACCATAAGCACTCATAAGAAAAGATGCAGGTGTGTTTGCACTATTGGGCTGTGGTATGGGTTGAAACATATGAATGTTTAATAAAGAAGCTTTTTCTATATTATCAAGTCAGTATTGTAATTGTTCAAATGAATCAGTATTATAATAATCATAGATTGGTACACCATTAGAGAACTTCGAAACAAAACCAACAAATGAATTTGTAGCACCATCATGCTTAACTTTTTTAACTACACCAGTGCAATCTTCTGCACAAAAACTAAATTTTACGTTTACTGTATCAAGATAGTGTTTCAAGGCAGAAAAATAAAATTGACCTTCCGTTAAAATAGGAACAGCAGTTGCAATTAACTTATTTATTGTTGTTAAATTAGGTAATGCTCCGATAATATTCAGTCGAATGAATTCGTAGCATTGCTTGCCACCTAATACACTACTTGACAAAAGTATCCCCCCCCTCGGATCTCAGTCCATACAAGAGCTGAGCGACTGAAAATTGGTGTGCAGGCAGCCCATGAAGAATGTAGGTCAGCGG